TGAATTCACCACGCACCGAACGGACAAGCTGAGATGCAACAACAAAAAAATCAACTGTTACTGAGTGGCGGCAGTACCCAAACTATACATGTACGTGGAGCCTCGCGGGGATGGACATCTTACTCAGCTTCTGCCAGTGCAGACAAAGACCCAAAACACATAGGAGTTCAGGATTTACGGGTGTAGGGCCTTTAAGATTTAGTGCGACACTGCTTAATCAAGCTATTGATAGTATGATTCTGTCCTTGTAGAATCCAACTTGTCCAGCTCCTCGCAATTACAACCCCTTTAAAGGTGATATTGATTGCAGCTCAGAAACTCATATAATATAACCCAGAATGAACGATTAGACTACCGTGGACGTTTGGAGGCTCTAGACGATTACAATACATTGGGGGAGCCTCCACCCTGACACCCCAAAATTCTGAAACCCCAAACCGTAAAATCCTTACAAACCCTTCTAATAGTAACCTTCATGGTAACTCTTAGATGTATCCCTTCATTGGTTCTTGGGAACGGCGCATTTGCAGCTAAGAAGCGGGATGAAACAGGGCGATGACGGACATTGGCCCAGGCGAGATGTTCAGGTACCGGAGCATCCTCAGGATCAGCTGGACTAGGAGTCTTTTGTGTTTGCTGTGCTTTTCGTGTTGTGTTGCGGTACCTAATCCTCCGGTGAAGCGTCCGAATTGAATCCATCGTCCTCGCACCACCTGGGTATCTTAAAACAAGGGGCCACGTACATATAATGTTCAGGAGCATATCTTTCAGACCTTCGGCTACTCTTAAGTAGTGACTACCTGGACCCTAAAGAACCTAACCTTTAATGGTCCCTTACTATGAATTCTTTCTATAAGTCCTGAAAAAGGTAGGATGTTTGGGTTAAGGTAGGTGTTGGGACATCGGAGTTGATTTAATCAGCTCAGAGAAATGGCCTGTGGCAACCGGGGATGTTCCAAGATGCGCTCCGACTGAAGAGTCGAAACCTTCTATGGACGCCATAAGCCCCGAAAAGAAACCCCCAAACCCAAAACCCTACACCCTCAACCCTAAACCCTAACCCCCCAACCCTCAACCCTAAACCCTAAATCCTAAACCCTGAACCCTAAACCCTAAACCCTAAAGAAACCCAGAACACGAATCGGGTTCGGGGTTCCGTGGATTCGGGTGTATTCCCTGCGTTGTTTCTTCAAGAAGGGGCTGAGTACACTAGCCCCAAAAAGGTTAACCCTTTCAACTATGGCAGGAATGTATAAGGTTAACCTTTTCAACTATTGCAGGAATCTATAAGCCCCAGAATCTTATAGTAAACCCCAAAAAGTTGAAAACCGGATTTAGAACAATCGGTGCTGGGATTCCCCATACACTAGTCTTAAGGATTGAGGCTATTGGGTTTCCAACTTTTGGGCTTCGACTGTAAAGGTTACCTACTCAGCTACTACGGTGTTGAGTCGGGGCTCAGCTCGTCCACAATCGCTCCGGCAGCCAGGCAGATGTCCTCGTCGGACTCCTTGTGGCTAAAGCTTGGGCTTAGGGTTTAGGGTTTAGGGTTCACGTTTCCAGCATTCACAACACGGATCGTAAAGGCTTCGGGGATTTAGGGCGTACTGATTGTATCTGAGCTTCAGCTCAGAGTTTGGAATATTTGATGGTTCGGCGGTTTACTGGTATACATGTAAACATATATATATATATATGTATGTATACATGTATATACAGGCTTGGGATTATGGGGTTACAGTTTGCTTTACAATGATGATGATTATCTAAGAATTGAGTCTTGACGCTGATCGGCTTCGCTTCGACACTAAACCATCTGTGGCTTGTCTGGTTTTCAGTACGCTTCTGAACCCTAAACCCTTATAAACCCTAAACCCCTAAACCCTAAACCGACATTTTCAACCCGGGACCCAAAGCTACATAGGCGACCTGGACTCCGAAAAAGCCATCATGTGGACCCCTTCTGGAGAGGGGTCTTCTGATTCTGATTTGGGAACTGCTATCGAGGGACCCGTCTCTCATTGAAGACCAGTAACACGTGCCTTCGCAGGCCTTTGTATGAGCCTTTTCTTACATGGTATACAGTGGCTGAAGAATCAGAATAGGGCGTTGGGGCTTGGGGGATATCCTAGCCTTAAGCCCCAAACCCTAAACCCTATTGCCAGGCGAAAAGCACATGCTCAGGCTCACCCGAAAAACTAAAGAACCAAGAATCCCTAACTGAGATCCTCTTGAACCCCTAGGGCTGATTTACAGGTTTAAAGTTATTATACGGTTTTGGGTTTAGGGTTTGTGGCGGAGAGCGATGGCGGCGTGTGCAAACCGACAAGGACCTGATACAGCTCTATGAAACGGACGTCCACCAGCCTGCCTCCTTGGACAGCATCGAGATCGCAGCTCTCAAGCCGTCAACACCTGAAAACTAGGGCTTTAGGGCTTAGGGTTTTCGGGCTTAGGGGCTTTGGCTTATTTAAGGCTTAGGGCTGCGCGCTTCCGGTTAGGGTTTAGGGTTTAAGGTTTCGGGTTTAAGCCACACAAGGTGTTGCAACTTCTTGTTGTCTGTTGTTGTAAGGTCCCTTGTGTATAAGTCCTTGCCGACAGACTCGAACTATTTACGGTGTGGGATTTATGGTTGAAAAGCAGCTGGTTGGGACTGCACCGGTTCAGGGCTAAGACTCTAAAGCGCGTTTCTTTGTTGGGAAGGGGGTGCTGATTTCACATAAGGACAATGTATGGTTCAAGGGTTCAAGGTTCAGAAGAGACTGCAGGTTTCTGCAGGTTTTAGGACGAGTTCGTGAGAATTGTGGATTTAGGGTTGGCAAATCTTACTTCAGGATTCTGAGTTTGGCTTGCAAGCCCTGCATGAACCCCTAACCCTGTAGAAATCCCTAAACCCTAAAAACCAAACCCTGTAGAAGCCCTCACACATGCCACAGACCCTCAAGTCGGAATGCCGATGCAACCACTTAGCACCTAGCACCTTTTAGACCGTGAAGCAGCTAGGGTAAGCACTTAGCCCTAATAACCCCTAAACCCGAGACCCAAACCCCTAACGCCAAAACCCTAAACCTTAAATCCTAAAATCTTATAAACCTTGATTATTCCAGCCCTCAGCCCTTACCACCTCGAACTCCTGTGCATAAATCCTACGCCCTCAAACCTCTAGACACTTACACTTTAAATGTAAAACTCTAAACTCGACACCCTAAGCCAAAAAAAACAAAACCCCCACAACCTCTGAGCTTTCGGCAGGAGTCGCGCATGTTCTCATCTGACACAGCCTGACGAACTGAGATGTGGGTAGTTCTCTATGTTAGTAGTTCAGAGTTTAGGGTTGAGGTAAGTTAGGGCCCCTTTTTAGGTCCCCAACATAGTACGGCACCCTTATGAACAGGACCACCACGAAAGGGACCCTAATTTAGAGAACTACCTATATAAGACCCCTTATAGAACACTTATAGATCCCATTAAGGTACCCCAAAGCGGGAGCCTGATCTACAGAAGTACCCACATACCCCTGCTTTATAATTATAAGGCTTCGGGCTTGGGTCTAAAGGGTGTCCTATGCTGTTGATGTAGGGTTTAGGGTTTAGGTTAGGGGTTTAAGTGTTTAGGGGTTTAGGGTTTTTTGGGAGCAAGTCACAGTGCTAAGCGTCATTGAAGGCAGCAAGGTAACCAAGCAGAACTACAAATTTAGAGTCCCAAACCCCAAACCCTAAACCCCAAACCCTAAACCCTGAGAGGTCCGGCTGGGGATTGCGCGGACCTTACTACCCAGGTTGGCCTCGTGGCCCGAGGCCTGCCATCCTTTAGAGATGGGCCTACGATCCATAATCCCTAAGTAGGGTTTAGGGTTTAGGGTTAAGCCATAATCCCGACGTAGCCATGTGAAAAAACCGTTAGAAGGTATGCCCTTAAGTTAAAGGGGTTCCTTGGCACTTTAGGGCCAAAGCATCTGTTATGCAGGTACATGAGAAGGCTTAGAGAGTTCGATGTGGGAATATAAGAGTCTCGAAGAGAGACTTGGTGGAATTTTGAGGTGCGGGCTTTAGGCAGGCGTAAGCTGTAGCACCTCTTCCCAAAATGAAACACCCAATAAGAACCCAACCAAAACCGCAAGTCCCGAAATCGAAACCCTAAACCTCCAGACCCTGCCGAAAATGAGACCGCACTCCTACACCCTTGACCCTGCAGTTTCAAAAATCGACCTTAGAACCTTAAACCTTTGAAATGCCCAAGGCTCGCCCTTCTGTGGTCCGTCGTTTAGCATGTGGCAATTTAGGGTTCAACCAGCATCTGAATTTTGATCTCACTGTTGAATACGACTATCACAGGGTTTCGGGCACATCTGGGTGTGACTGCAATGGGGAGCCCTTTGGAACAGGTTTTTCAGCTATTCAAGCTTGCGCATGGAAAAGCTATGCATGGGTTTCGGGCTTCTAAGGTTCAGGCTTTAGGGGTTCAGGGTCTATCGCGCCTACGTTGTGGGCGATTCAGGCAAACCCTGTATACTTATACTAGATTCGGCTCCAAAACCCTAGTCTAAAGGCACCTACACCCGCATAGTAACGCCCATTAATTAACCCATAAACCCAAACCTCTGAACCATATAACCCTAGACCCAAAACGCACGCCCTCAGCTCTAAACCTTACACCCTGAAGCGAAAAACGTCCACACGTTGCCGCCGAACCACAGTCACAAGTGGCCAACACTTCACCAAGCAAACTCCTCGGCTTTAGGGTTTACGGAGCTTGGGTTTAGGGAGCTGGGGTTTTGTGTTCACGGTTTTTGGGGCTTAGGGTCCAAGGTTTCAGGCCTTCGGGCGTTAAGTGTTAGGGTTTAAGGTTAGAAGGTCACACCCATGATTATGTCCCGGCAGACCCAGACTGCTTGAAGAGGGAACTTTAGTTGTCGAGTAAATATCCTTGGGAGCTCAAGGCCAACCCTCGGGGGTATATAGACATTATAGTAGCCCCCAAACATACCAGAAGTTAACTTTTTAACTACTAAGGAACAGAAAGGCGTGTTGCTCGGGTTAGGTTCATGGTTGTTCGAGGCTGTTGAACTCAACGCAGAGCCCGGGCCCGTGTGTTAAGGTTCATGGGCCCAAAGACCGTTGCATAGAGCTTTTGGGCTATTTTGAACCTTCGGGTGAAGGTTCAGGCGCCTAGGGTTTTAACAACCCCTAAATCCTTGAAACTTCAGGCGCCTAGGGTTTTAACAACCCCTAAATCCCTGAAACTCGGGGCTCATGGGATTTGAGCTCAATGCTGAGATGATAAATATGCATATACCCATTTCGAAAAAATGTTAAAAGATACCTTCGCAACTACTATGGTTTCGGCTTCCCGGAGAAGCAGTGTCGGAAGTTCCGAGTTTAAGTGGACATTCAGGGGAAAACCGAGGTTTTGGGATGGGAGGATGATGGGTTTCGGGTGTGGGGTTACGATTCAGGGTGAAGACCTTCTGAGACCTAAGGCTTACGGGTTCAAAGGTTTCGGATGGTATAGGGTTAGGGTTAAGGGTTGGGAATTCCAGGCTTTGGCCTATATTTGTCCTGGATCCTAAGCCCTGCAGGTCCAAAGGACTGGCCGTCTGGGTCTTGAAAGTTGAAGGTTGGGTTAAAGGGCTTGTTGAAAGGGCCTGGGACCCCGAACACGTCGCGTGGCACCCTGAACCTTTCCGCAGGGATCCTGATCCATATAAGGGGGGAAAGATCGATTTTATTAACCACCCAAAAAAAGCTTAAGAAAACCCCAGGCCCAGAATTAATAATAAACTCCCTCACTTAAGAACTCGGCCCCGCAACGAGTTGTAGTATAGCGAAGAGGGCTTCAGGTGAAACTATGCAATGGTTTAGTGTTGGCTAACCTAAACCTTTTTGTTTTTCCTTTCCCTCGTTCTCTCTCCCTCTCGTAAAAGGAAAGGACTGCCGGACTGCCACAACATTTGGAACCCTACGACGCAATAGCCGGTGTGTGCGAGAACGTGTGAGTTGAGAGTTCCTCTCCCTCCCAGAGTTTCGAACCCAGCCAGCAGTAGGAACGTAGGACTGCAGGCACTGCCCGGAATTGAAGGCTGCAATCACAAGCACGAAGGATTTGTAGGGTCTGCCGCACGCCAATGGAAGGAAGGGTTCAGTATACAGCGCGGAACAATGGGAACACGAAGCTGCACCAGTCTAGTGCTCAATATATTCGAAATTTGAATCTTATATAACTTCGCGTTTTTCTGGCTTTTTCAAAACTTCAGCGAGGTTTGGGACGGGCGGCAGCTGCAGGAGGCATTTGGGACAAACCGAAACTTCTCTTTTCGGAATCTGGAGGCCCGGAGGCTTCAGCAGGTCTGCTTTTTGTTCCTTCACAACAGTTTTACAGAAGCGTGCGTAAGCGAAACGGAACACGTATCCCGCTCTGTCCTGCAATTGCTTGGCCATGAAGCCTTTGTTCTGTGGCTGTGGCTGGAAGCCCATGTCTTCCCACCTGCTCCCGGAACGGCCCGCCGCCTTCAGCTTTGCTCGCCCGTGCTTGACCTTCTTGCGGTTCTGCCATTTGCGAGACTCGCAGCCGAAATGCTGCGCGTTACGCAAGAACCAGCCGCCAAGCACACCATCTTGAGGCACTGACTCAGAGGCTCGCTTTCAAGCTTGCGTTTCAGATACTTGTGGAGGAACTGCAGCATCCTCGCATCGATCTTCTCGTCTCCGTTCCCGCAACACTGCTTTCACACCGGACGTGCTCCACCGCCAACTAGCTTTTCGAAATGGTTTCTTTTCACTCTGGGATATGTTAAAAAACTAAAAACAACACAAGTAAAACAAAACAGAAACAAAACACGTCAAACAGGCCAGGAGCCAGAAACGCAACAGGAAAAATTCTTCCTAGATGTCGGATCTCTGCAGGGGTCATTTTGTCAGAGATTGTCATTTGGACAATGTCGGCCGGAAGTTCAAAATGCCGCGGCAAATTCGATATAGCCTCGTCGATAGCTGCATCCTGCTGGTCCTCTTCCTCAACTTCAAATCGCCATGGGATGCTCGTTGACAGCCTTCTGGCTGCAGCACCATTGGTAATGGGGGTTCACCACCCCCATCACATGCATTGGACCATGCTTGTCTCTTCCGCAGCTCTGCAACATCTTGAAGTGCTGCATTCCTGCAGCTGAAAACACCAGCAGTTTTTGTTGCCTCCAAGTGTTCTTCAAACTGTCGCTTCGCTGCTTCTGTGTCCAGATCCTTGGTCCAGATGTAAGGGCAAACAACAAAAAGACCAATACAAAACACATGCACAACAAAACAAAAAGGCGACCGTCCCTGAGGCTCGATTTTCTGGTTGTGTTTTATGTGTTTTCGTTTTTTTAATTTATTTTCGTTTTAATTGTTGATGTATGGTATGTTTGTGTTTTTCCAAGGCAGGAACAACGACACACCAAAATTAACACAAAACAAAACAAAATAAAACACAACACAAGCACACATAAAACGCAAAGCAAGCACAAAGGAGCCAATAATAAAACGAAAAATAGCGCTGAAGCAGACAAAACGCAAACATGCAACCTCCCATGCCCACCTGTTATGTGTTTTTTTTCGTTGTTTTGTTGTTTTTTGGTTTATTTACCTTTGCCTTGATTTCCAGATGTCACAGTGTTGTCCATGCCTTAAAACTAGCTCCGGTTCCTCTTGGCCTTTACGATGAGAAAGCCAAAGATCGTGGAGGATGGATTTCCGAAAGATGCAGTTGTGCACCTGCAGTTTTTGAAGGACTTATCCGTGATGCCCTCTCTGGCAGCCATCTCCCAAGCACCAGACGAGTTTTGGGACTTCTTTGGGGCTCCGGAACTTAAGCTCTTGTGTACAAACTGTACGGAGGTGCAGTCTGCCGATCTCACACAAGCAGAACTCCCAGTCACAGGCCGATCCTTCCAGCAAACTTGTTCCTGCTGTGAGCAGCGCTTCTTTGGTTGCGTCCTGCACGCCCTCCAAACCTCGGATGCATTCCACTTCTGCTTGCCAAAAACCTTGGCAACCAAGGTCTGGACGCTCTTGCCTTCAAAGGAGAGGTTGTTCACCCGGCAGTATGTGGCACACTGCTGCATCCGCATTTTGGATATGGCCCTGTCAAGTTTGGCCCGCCGGAAGACGATCAGCCAGTTATGCTTGCAGCCAGTCTTGGGGTTCCAAGACTTGAAGCGCATGTCTTGGTGCTTGGGTTCCAAAGGACCTAAGAAATGGGCACTTGGGTTTAACTAAATCTTGAAACCTATACCCTCGGATGGTAGGAACCCAGGTCAGGTTCTGGGGCGTATATGATTCTTACGTACTTGACCTGTAGCAATCACCACAGTAATGTTAGTTGGACCCGGCAACCTCTAAACCCTAAACCGGGCCCAGCGGCCCAGGATTTTCACGACCATGGAGCGGATGGCCGGGGCAGAGGCCAAGGAGCGCCTGCTTTTCCCTAAGGGTCCGGTTTCGGGTTTAGGGTTTAGGGCCCAAACAGTATGCACTTTGGCCTTGAAGTACATACATAGGGACCACGTTAAGACCAAATTCTGCAGTACTTGCATACATGGACCCTGAGGGTTTATATAAATGAACCCTAAACGGGTTTAGGGTTCATGTGTATATATATATAAACGAATCCTAAAAAGGGTTTAAGGCTCATATACCATACAGGAATTCATAGTAATTATACGGCTAAGGGGCCCCTACTTGTAAGGGTCGTTTCGTCCTTAAGGTAGAGGAACCCTAAACCTTAGACCCTAAACCCTAAACCTGAAACCCTAAACCATACACCCTAAACCCCTAACCCTGAACCC